AGACCAGAATGACATACTGTTATAATGGTTTTTGAAGATACTGGATATGAAAAGCAAATATCTAACAACGTAGTAGATTTTGAAACTTTGAAAGCAGACATTGACAGTACATTATGACTTTGAGTGTAGAAAACCCCAATCGCGGCACGATGTTGTTCTAGAGAATTACCCATTGTCAAAAATTTTATTGATGCAATATCTAAAGTTTGGTTTGCTTCTGGGCTGCCTTGGGATTTAGTGAAATTGTAATTATTTGGCAATATACAAATACAAATACAAATATTTATTGGCACAAACACATTTAAAATAATTGGCAAAGGCACATCATCAATTGTTCATTATATTTAAACAATAATCTGGTATAGAATGTAAGGCTATATATAATCATAGCTAAATTGTACATCATTTGTAAAATAATTATGTTAAGCAGTCATTTCTAGATGTAATACATTATTTAATAAATGAGTTTGTTATTTTCAGTACTTCTGGACAATGGCTATCAAAGCAAAGTTTAACTTTTTGAGTATCAGACATATTTAATATTTTATCATGGAAAAAATTCATCAAATTCCTTTCAAAGGTTAACCTATGATTATTGTATTTATGGCAGATGAAAAGAAAATGAAATTCATCTTCAACTTCCCATGTGTTACATATATTACAAATTCTTTTATCTGTAGGTATAGAAAAAATGTCTTTCTTTTTCTATTGCAAGGTTATGAGCACTAAGTCTCAATCTGCTAATAATTGATCTGTCTGTTTTCTTTTTTAATATATCAGTGTATCCGCATCGTTTGAAATTATTAAAAGCAACTTGATAAAATTTTAGTTTCGATGAATTATGAATCTTTGCATATTCCTCTTGTATGCATTGATCTGATATTCTTTGTTTTATGCTTCTCAAAAGTGGTTTTATAGAATTTTCTTTTTTTAGTAATGAATGAAAATACTAACTTGTTGAAAAGTGAAAAAATATTTTTAGTCCATGAGTTTGTTTGACTGTTGCTTTATAGATTTTAAATGCTCAAGTGTTTTTGGAAGTAATAAGATGGTTCCAAAATTTTATACTTGAAAACTGTATTCTTGTCCACAGGGGTTGTCTACCTAAATCTGCTCTGCAAGGAGCATTAGTAGTTTTACAATGTACTCCTAAAATTTCCTTAATAAACTTCATGTGAAATTTTTCAATTATAGAATTTTCACCAATGTTATTATATTGATTCATTGATTGTATATTGTTTAACGTCCCTCTTGAGAATTTTTCACTCATATGGAGACGTCACCGTATGCCGGTGAAGGGCTTCAATTTTAGACCTATACTCGGCACTCAGGGCCATTGAGCAGTGAGGGTTCTTTATCGTGCCAGCGCCTACCGTGACACGGGACCTACGTTTTTAAGGTCATATCCGAAAGACCCTTGACTTTCACTTCTGATGCCAAGCGCTTGGCGAAGGAACAGCCGCTACCTATTTTTACGTCTTAGGTTTGACGCGGCGCCGGGAACGAGAATCGAACCCGGGCCTCCCGATCACGAAGCGAACGCTCTACCACTAGGCTACCGTGAACGGTCCAATGTTATTATAAATACCCCAGATCTCAGAGCAATAAAGAAGAACTGGTGTTATAATTGAGTCAAAAAGTTTTTCCAAAAGTTTACATGGATTATCCAAACCAATGGTTTTCTTAATCTTAAAATATGCTTTTCTGGCCTTTTCCATAAGTACTGACATAGCTAAGTTCATATTTCCATTGCATTTCAAAGTTAATCCAAGATAACAAGTTTGAACATACTGTACAAATGTTTGGGACATCCGTTATGTTGATCTGTCAATCACATGTTTTTTAAGGAAAACGAAAGTAGGACGTGTTAACAAAGCGCTGATTTGACGAGGTCCCAAGCGTGTCCGTGACGCGAACACGTGGAAATGTTTATAAACACAGTGTTTTACGATTTTGGCGTCAACGAGAGGAACTATTCGTCTACGTTGTCATCTTGGAAACACTGAAGGTCCTCTATCGTATTTATCAGTATTCTCTTCCCATGGTCACCGAGGAGTTTCGCATAGTTCCTTTGACATTATTTGCCTACGAGTTATTCTCCTTAGCCGCCATCTAGTAGGGCAAAGTAGTTAATTTACTTTGAGCAACCAATTTTAAATGCATGCAAGTAATGTATGGGGAAAAATATATACAATTTTAAAATTATGAATAAAAAGAGGCTTTAACAAATATAGATTCATAAGAAAAATAATTTTATCTTTACCTTAGTAACCAGTATAACAAATTGAACTTGGTTGAATAATGAAGGGATCTAGGAATGTTGCCCTATGATATGTCAGTTGAGGTGAATAACTGCTATGCAAAATATGTCATAGGAAAGGGTCTATTGAATCATATATCATCTTTATATGCTACTGGACATAAAATTATTCAAAACAAGACGCAGATTTATTATTAATCGTAGTTGTACGTGGAGATACAATCTTTATCTTATTATAACTTAAGAGTATTGAGAGCATGAGGCAGTGCCAATGTACACAACATGCATTCTGTGATTTCCGTCCTCGCCCGATCACTTTATTTTATCAATTTCACTGAGACGTTAGAAACAATTGAACTTAAAATTCTTTTTTTTTTGTTTTTTTTTAAATAATAATTATTCACGGACAATTGAAAATACCTCCTCTAATCAGCTAATTTGATTTAGCATCGTCAACAGTTTGAGTTGCAGACTGGAAATAACTTGTACACTGTAATGTACAAAACTAAATCTTGAAATCGGAAGATATCTGGATTGCTCGACAAAGCTCTGACGAAAAGCGCATTATCCACCGTGTTACGAAAGAAATATAGCAACGATGGAATTTTTTTAGTGTTAATAGATAAAATTGAGTGAATAAAAAACTAAAAGCAAGCATTTTAAGATTGCAAGCTTATTATTATTACATTTCATAACAACTTCGAGCAGAGGAAATTCGGGTCGAGGAAATTCGGAAGAATATTACTCTAAAATTGAACACTAACTTTATAATTTTTTATCAGCAATTTGTAAAACAAGCAAATCGCTATAAATATTGCATAAGAAATTAAACTTTTAATTTTTCCTTGATTGCTTAAAATTACATTGTACATATATATTTACCCATTTCCCGAATAAATTGATATTATATAAATAAGTCAAAATAATTTGTCATTTTAGATTTTTTCCTTGTACTTTATTCTTTTAGAAATTAAATTCCATTCCTGGCGATGGCAGTATTTTATAAAATAATTATTTTTCTGATGTTTTTAGGGGAATTCTGAATTTTTAAAAATTGCTTATGTAACAGGAGAGGAGAAAATGCAGCGGACCAGACCGGGATTCGAACCCGGGCCTCCTGAAACTCCGGTCAGGTGCTCTACCAACTGAGCTATCTAGCCACCGGCGATCGAAGCCGGCTGACCGCCACATTCCTCCCTCCTCAAAGGTCTTTGACCCTCCAAAGACCCCAACCCAGGCTCATCCCTGGCAGGTCTTTCACCTGTCAATGCCAGGGCAGGGTACGGCACCAAATGTAACGCGAGAGGAGAAAATGCAGCGGACCAGACCGGGATTCGAACCCGGGCCTCCTGAAACTCCGGTCAGGTGCTCTACCAACTGAGCTATCTAGCCACCGGCGATCGAACCCGGCTGACCGCCACACTTATAAAAATATAATTTTTTTCATAGAGAGTTACTCCCCTTATTTTGGCGTGTTCTATTTTTAGTTTTCCGCACTAGAACTTTTTCTAATGCATTTAAAAGTAAAATATAGAAAAGTTCTCCTTTCAATCCGTGTATGTGTTTTAGAGTTTTAATTACTCTGAAATTAGGACCCGAAAGTCCCATACTCCCTTAAAGGCAAGTGTTTTCTTCTTTTCACGCATTATATTTTGCACAAATTCTGCTTCATATGAATATAAAAATAGGTCTGCTAATAACGAGGCGCATTTGGTATCCATTGGAATTCCAATAGATTGTTGGAATACCTAAAAATAGCGATCAGCCCTACTGTACCTTACAGGTGTCATTATTTTGTATATAGGGATATTATTTCTTTTGGATGTTCAAAATTCACATTAAATGGTTTGAGTCTGTGCTAGATGAATTATGACTTCATAATTAATTAAATGTTACTTTGTCCGTACTTTACACCTTCAACAAAAGTTGAAGCAAAAACAGCATTTTGATATTCAAGGAATTAATTCAAAATCATGTCAAATGTGTTGTCTCACAACAGCCAGTTAACACATAAACATATGTTGAATATGGTGAAAAGCTACAAAGATGTAATTACAATATGGTATAAACATGACTAGAATTATAGATTTGACATACTTTGACTACATCCACAGTAGGAGATAATTAATGTAAGGTGGAAAAGGATACCAGACCAAACTTCTACATATCTATTTTCCTAAAGTAGTACGGTTTGAAACATCCCAACTCTATAAGTTTTTCTTTAAATAGTCATTTTAATTAATTACAAAATTAATTAACTAGCATATCAAACATTACCTTTTTTCTTAATTAAGCTTAATAGTTTTGACAGGAAAAAAAAAGAAATGCTCTTTCAAAAAAAATAAAAACTAGGTCTAATTGTAAAGGGAACCGCCCCTGTCACATTGTCACGATTTATAGCGATTCATGACGAATAGCAGACTTCCGAATTACTGCCGGAACAACGTTTTATTCTTGATTTTACACACTGCGGTCACGTGATTCGAAACTTTTTTAAGCCCTCGATACTTCCGGTGCAGACGATATGGCGAGTCAATCTCTCACCAGCAAAACTCGGTATTACTGTGCTGCCGATAGCTGTCACGCTGAGTGACAGAAGTCAAGTTTTTCCCTTTCCCAACACAGAAAAAGGACCCAAAATGTAGGCGAGCGTGGCTGAGTTTGCTGCGGCGGAAAGATTACGACCCACCTATGCACCACAGGGTAAAGTGGAATAATTCTTTAAGACTAAATTATTTTGCACTTTTTGCAAAATATTCGTGTCTCAGTACAAAGAGTTTCTTTTTTTTCAATGTTTAGATATGTTCCCGACATTTTGTTGATGGCAGTCCAACACCTGAAAACCCATATCCTACGTTATTTGCTTACAATAATTACAAGGAGCCTGTACAGAACAGAAACTCAACATCCATCACCAAACGTTCAGCGGCAGAGAAACGTAACTAGGTGTGTATGATTAATTAATAATACACATAAAAATGCCCCCTCCTGATATTTATTTTTGAAAGGAAACTTGATAGGCTAGTTTGTTTCAAGCCCTGTATTAAGAGTATTGTAGTTAAATGCATTTGTTAATTTATTCACTATGACCTTGCACCATGTGTGCCTGCACGCTTTCAACATCAGCTAGTCGAGTCCTACCAGTCAACCTTAATCTCAGCGAGATGTCGCAGGGACTAAAATATTTGGTCGGACGTCCACTACGACATCTCAGTCCACTTCCACACAACGTGATTAGGGATTTTTTGCTCAGATTTCGACCGCTTGTTTCAATCAATATGGGCTGAAATGAATTATCTGCTCGCTTCAACTTTTTCCTTTGAACATCCCTTTAAGTCTCTATCACAATAAAACTTTCCTTTCTTACCTTTAAAATGTTTAAATCCAACAAAATATAAAGTTGTTTATTTTTCCTCTGTAATGTCCCATTCATTTAAACCTCTGATGTTGAGTAGTTTCAACATAGTCTCCTTTGAATAATTCGTACTATACTTCATTCCTATGGGAAATAGTAGTAGAACGAATAATTCAGAGGATGTTTCACCATTCATAAGCAAAAAAAAAAATAAAATTTTCGACCTACCGACCCTTGATTTTTTGGGAATGTTACAGGAAACAAACTTAATTTTTTTTAAGCCTAAAGAGATGTTCAAAGGAAAAAGTTGAAGCGAGCAGAATATTCATTTCAGCCCATATTGATTGAAACAAGCGGTCGAAATCTGAGCAAAAAATTCCTAATCACGTTGTGTGGAAGTGGACTGAGATGTCGTAGTGGACGTCCGACCAAATATTTTATCCCTACGACATCTCGCTGAGATTAAGTCAACCTATGTATATATTCACCACGTGTTTCTGTTCTATGTCTTGTATATACTTTATTCTCTTTAGAGAAGTGGACAGGCTTTTGCCTACATCCATGGATGTAGGCGAAAGCTTGTCCACTTCTCTAAACTAAAGAGAATAAACTTGTGTTTATTCTTTATGTAAACCTTGGTGTTTCGTTGTCACCCTACATTTAAAGTAGGCGACACTTAAGTAAAATCCTTTGACAGGGCTTGTTTAACTACATTGTCATCTCTGATAGGATAGTACATGTATTAAAAATTCCCTAGTCTACAATATACTGTTTCAATTTAGCTATCCTAAGCCTAATAAACACTGCTCTTTTTGATACATGTAAAGAGTATTTTAACTCAGCAAACTGACTAGCAGAATGTCCTTTGTAGATATAGACTTTCAATAATGTTGCTATGAAAATAACATATATTTTTGTTTCATCCAGTTCCTTGAAAATTCACACTTGATGGAGTTGAATGAAGATGCAGCTGATTTTCAGTCCTACAATGATGTAAGTTTAACACTGTGTATATAAATATATATCTATAAGGCCTGTGGAAAAAATGTTTGTTTCTGCTTTTCAAACTGACACTATAATTCATAGTGCCAATTATATTTTTCAGTTGCCTTTTCAGTGAATACATGTACATATTTGAATTTTCAGATTTTACCCATGTATGAAATTTGACTGTAAATTTCAGTCACAGAAATGTTTAAAGTACTATTTCTTTTTCATGAATGTTTCTTACATGTTTATTTAATGATGATAGTAGACAGTACTAATATATTTTTCAGTGTAATAGCTTAAGGTAGGACCAAATAGATAGGTCAAATTTTTCCTCAAATTCAATTTTTCTGAAACTTTGACATTTTGTTCTTGGATACAAAATCACTCTTTATATAAGATACAAGTTAAATTGATGCAAAGCATCAAATCGGCCGAAAACAAAATTTAGCAGTAAAAAAAATCTTTCACATGCAAGGAATGCACGTCAAGATACTAGTATTCAAAGGTGAAATGGTTGAATCTTTTTTTCAGGCTGTCTTCAACGCAAAGTAAAAAAAAATTAATAAATATACATTTTACCGCATTTGCTCATAAATTAGATTCATCAATGTTAAAAAAAAATCAACGATGAATGATAAGAATTTATTGAAAATGATGATGTAGGCCTCTCAAGATAAACCACGTGCTGATACCATGGATCTTTGTCAGGTGATAATGCCCAAGGCTTCTGCCGAGTAGGCTCTACTGCAAGCCGCGGTGCAAAATGTAGAAAAAATATCTTTGCATCATTTGCAGCTGTAGAGCATATTCAATACCATAATTTTAATGAGTTGAATATTCACCATGCATTTTTACCAGGTCAACATTTTCCGGAAAATCATGGTTATTTCCTTTCATATCTTACACACTCCCAGACGGGGGAGTATCTGTTGTACACTCTTTTTATATAACCATAAATTATCAATTATCTGACAAGAAATGATAATGAAATTGAAGTATAATAACAACAATTAATGCTAAGTTTAAAGCAAGTTTTATAAAAAAAATATTTTACTCGTGATTTTTACTTTTTATCAATCAAGAATTATTTTACTGAACTAATAAAAAATAACGTCTCATTTCCCCATGTGCACTTTCTAACACAACCACAAATAGATCGGCCGCTGCTGCGGCCGATAATGAAAGAAATTCAACCGCACATTTTTTGCCCACATAGTCTGAAATATGGCCTATCAGACCCTTGTAAGAAGATTGTGAAATCAGACATTCGACTTGAGAATGAGCCTTATTTTAGAATTTTCTATTGATCTAATTGCAATTTTGTGTGATACTTTTCATAAAGTTAACCTTTTTGTTACTTTAAACCAAAGTCACATTGATACTGGAAAATTTGGGTAAAATATTAAGTAAAATAGAACATATATTGTGTCAGAAACTGAAAATTCACATGTAAATATCCGACAGTTTAAGTTTTCTTAAGAGAAAATGTATCATTCAATTTTTACAAAAAATCAACAGAATGATTCAAATGGGTCTTACATGTAGAATGAAATGTGTAAAAATAAAGAAAATTGAACCGATGGTTTCAGATATTTTGGAGATTAAAAAAAAAATTCAATGGCAAAAAAACTTGAAGATTCAGTAGATGACGTCACAATATTTGACCTTTGACCTCTTGATATGACCTTGATCTTTGTAGTACATAAAGAATAGAGACTCCTATATATGTGTCCAAATATCCCCCCTCTATTATTTATGGAACAAAAGTTGCACTGCATTTTATAACAGACTGTTACATGCTTGTTTATTGCACTTAGATAGCGTAAACACATTCCAAAATCTAAGCTCCCAAGTGACTAATATATAGGATTCTCTGATTTTTTCACAAAATATGACGCAAATATGCCAAAACTTATTATTTTTCTTTTAGGGATCATTCATTGTTGTCAATATAGTAATATTATTCTTTTTTCCTCCGGCACTTTTTAAGAAATGGGTTGAAATAGAATCCACGGGTGTTTTGTCCTACCTTAAGTACATGAAACTA